AACCCAAACCTGAATCAAATAAACTATAATTCTAATAGAAAATAGTATTTTACGAAATAGCAAAAATTTATGAAACAAAATCACTAGAAATTAAATTTACCTTGTACAAGCTGTAATTTTATGACAAATATAATTTGTCTGTCACCGTCATAGTGACCTGTATAACGTCCAGTGCATTGCAATATGTCACTTAAAAATTTAGTCAAGTATATAGCAAACTACTGAGTACTGAGCGGAAAAACAGATCGTGCAAAACATGAACAATCGATTTGCACGAAATAAAGCTGGGACGGGGGGAAAAATAGTTATGTAAAATAAAGGCCCGTCTTCAAATACAGACATAATACATATATCTGGTTCATAAAACAAAAATGTAACTTTCTTATTACTGAAAGGATTTTTGTGAAATAAACGGCAAAATGTTTAAATTGATACATGGAAATTTATGCAAACCATAAAAATACTCCAAATAATAATTTCACCCGAAAACTCTAAATAAAACAAAAGATGATGCAATCTCACATCAATGAATATAGAGTAAAAATGAGGTTCGGCGTGAAAAATATAATGCAATATTTTACAAATGTACTTTCACTTTGTGACCCTTTTCTGCTGGGGTTTACTTATTGTGACGGCAGAGAAAGGAAAGGCTGCAGAAATATTATATTCAGATGCTCTTTCATTCGTTACTTTCTGGGGATTCATATTGTGACAACAGGGAACGCGTTGTTATGCTTGACTATAATACAATAGAGAAAGAAACAAAAACACTCGACAATCTGATTTATACTCGGGGGGGGGGGGGGGCAACGCCCCCTCGTACAAATCAGATAGCCTCGTGTTTCGGTGTTCTTTCTATTATATATTGTGGCGCAAGTTTTTATTACGCTGCACGCTTTGACATTGAATGATTATACCTTTTTGCCAAGTATTGCAGTCAATGTATAAAGAACGGGGTTTAACGCCGAATTTACAGGCAAAACAAATACAGCTGTCCAAGCGTAAACGTCTCCAGATATAACTTTTCCAGACATGGCCATTAGTCCTACAATTATAATCTGGGGTATTAATTTATCATCTCATTTTTGTATTTGTTTTTATAAGATAATGAAAATCAGTTCGTACACAAGGAGAGTGTAAAATAACACCAGTAAAATTTTTAAAACAGTTATTCAAATCAAATGAAATATAACTAAACAGGTGAGTTTTTATTTCCAATAAATATAATATACAGTTCTAAAATCTTATCAATTGAAAAGAAAAAATAGATTTTGTAATAATATGCAAAACCAGCTGTTAGCTTATGATTCGTTACACATAAACGGAGTATGAAATTTTCATGTATTCATCTAAAATATTTAACAATAATTGTTTGTTTAAAATTAAGATGCATTTTTATATTTTGTTCACAGTAATTGTATTTTTCACATTAAAAGTTATGAATCATAAGACAATTGCATGTCAATACTTTTTTTAAAGTTTCACATACGTCCGCAATTTTTAAATTTAAATAATATTTCTTTTTTTCTTATGTAATAAATAAGTACGCAAGAACAGAGCGATTAAATACAGAATTAAACACTTTTACAGTGATAATTTACTTGTCACTAACAGCGTATCTTAAAGGAAAAAACATAATAAAAGTAATGATTAACATACCTATACATCCAATAGGGAACCAAACACAGAAAGTCTGTGGCTACAACCAACAATAAATTTCTCGCTACAATAAGATCCTTCTTTCTCCCAGACTGTGTCTTTTTCAAAGTTCGTTTTGAGTTTCGAATATCCTTAAAAATTGACCATTGTCCAAGTGTGATGAGGAGAAACGTTATAAAGTTAAAAACAACAAAATTCAAAACGGAATAGAGCCAACCTGGAGGTCTATCTCTTGTTAAGGGAGAGCAATACAGACACCTGACTTGTTATAAAATGAATGGTTAAAATATGTGGAAAACAAGAGCGGGAATAAGGAAATAAATAAACAGAAGAGCCATGTGACAATGGAAAACGCAATAGCCTTTTTTGGTAGTAAATCGAACTTGTCCAAACGGATATTTGATGACCAGAAGTCTGTCTAGTGTTATTAAACAGAGAAATACAACGCTTGCTTCTGACGACAAGGTAGAAAGAACGCCAGCGAGAGTACACCACGTGCTGTTTCGCCAATAGTCATCCATAAAGATATATCTGAATAAGAAGATATCACAAATCTAAATGTATAAATTTATCCATCCATAATTAAAGAGGATATTTTGAATTAAGACTTAAAATTTCCTTTTATAAATAATCTTCATCTTAAGCTATACAGACCTGAAAAATATTTCATTCTTGCTAATTTGTAAATATTTTGAGAATTCAAAAGCGTTTAAAAATATAACATACCGATTTCGGAATAAAGCATCCGCCACAGCTATCATTATTAAGTATATACCCATTAGAAAGTCAGCTACTGCTAAGTTAGTAACAAAAATACCATATCCTAGCTTCAACCGCTCTCTGTCGAACTGCAGACGATAAATAAATGACAAAATGTTTCCTAGCAACGCACAAAGACCAATCAACCAAAGCATCGTCTGTAACACTGATATTCTCATCAAGTCTTCACACGAGGAGAACTCATCCTTTTGAGGAAAGCAATTACCTTCCGGTACATGATTTGGTCTGACACAGCAATATTTATAGGCTGGTGTATGTAAAATCTTTAGTGATGAGACCCCTGTAAACATTCCTTTGTCAAAAGAAGCAATTTTATTAATTTTGAAAGAAATCTGTTCCACAGCGAGATTTCCAAGCCCAAACTCTTCAATGTTTTCAAAATAGTTGCCAATGAATTTCAAGCAAATCAAGATTTAAGCCAGCAAATGTATTTGAGGCAATGGTTTTAATCTTAGTTGATGATATTCGCAGGTGTCTTACAGACTTTAGGAACTGGAATGTGTATGATTCTAATGCAGACAGGTGACTATTTCCATCAAGTTTCAACATAGTCAAACGTTGTAATCCACTAAATACAGACGGAAATAACGTTGTTATCAAATTGTTGCTTAGGTCAAGAACTCGTAAGTTAATTAGTTTCGAGAATGCATTCGGTTGTATTTGGGCAATTTTGCAATTGCTAACATTTAATATATACAAAAACTGGAAATGTAGAATATCTTTACTCAATATGTTCTTCGTTTCTCTATTTTCCTGGAGGGCTAACGACCGTAATTGTTTTGGATATGAAGTTATTTCAGTGTCATTGAAAGTTGTGCATCTTGCTGCAAACCCTTCACATGTACACTGCTTGGGGCAGATGAAATCACAAAGAAACTCGTCATCACCATAAATACAATCCCGGACCCCATCACAAACTTGATCTAGATTTAGACACATTTTGCTTGATGAACATTTGTAATAACCTTCACATGCTGTCGAAAACTTCTCTGAAATTAGAAGAAAACACGAAATAAATTATTCAAGTCCTATTAGAATTAAGTACTTGACAAGACCTAATAACTTTACATCATGCCGGTTGTCTTCAAATTCTAATGCGATTTCAGGATGTTAAAGATAAATACTTTTTATTGAAAAGGAAAAGAATTCAACACTTTACATTGTTAAATTTAGCTTTACATTTTTACACACAACAATTTATGACGATGTATCACAGACAACTGAATCAAGACAATAAGAACATTTATCCAATGCATTTCGGTAACATTACGCTAACATTAACAATTTGAGAACCTTTAAATTCTAGTGCAGATGAGAGATATCTTTCTAATATAATCGTATATGTCATGAATACCGTTACAATTTCTTCTTCCATGACAATTTAAAAGGCCTATTGGGTCATAATAATATTATCAATGACATATTATTGATATCAAAATATTTCTTTCTACTTCTTTCTAAACAATACCAACATTTCTTCTGCACTTTCAGTATCTAAAATGGTACTCATTGGTCATGTCTTTGAATCATATAATGCTTCTTTTGTGTAAGAGCATTATTATTGAAGTCTTCGAATAGGTTACTTAATGACAAACAGTTTATATCTCGCTCTTTTCTCACGTGATAAACAACTGACGTGGTCTAAATCGATAATTGAAAAATATCATATTTGACATGTTTGCCCATTCCTAAAAAATGGTTTAATGTATTCATATGAAGATAAATGTGACTTAAAATTACTTACCTTTACATAGTCCTGGTAGATACCGTGATGCTAATGAAGAAAAGATTTTCCAATGACTGACTCGCACATCAATAACAAAATTGAATTCATTTTTTTCAATAACATCAGACAATTCCATAATACGATAAATGGTGATGTTAGGATTCTCAGTTATGTTTCCAAACATTAATTCACCTATCTTCTCAGACATTGGGCTACTCTGAATGTATAAGATCGTCCTTTCAAAATTTTGTGTAAATGGTATTGATGCCAAGAAGTCGTTAGCTAAAATTTTGTATTCACACTCGTAATTTCTGTCAATAAATTCAAAAGGTTTCAGTTCCTTGTCCAGTATATTAAGCATGCGATGTGTAAAAGCAATTCCCTCAGATAGTACGTACGATGAATATTTGATACTTCGTATTATACTTTTAGGTGAGTGTAGTTGTTTGACCAACATTTCAAGATCTGGTCCTCTTACATCGCCCTTTTCAAATACAATAAGAACCTCTCTTTCTGAGTCGTCACATCCTTTAATGATAAATATTGGCGTCAGTGGTTTTGATGTCGGAAACAACGTTTATATGCATATATATATTCTCTACGATAACTTATAATATTTATTTTATTAGCATATTATTATTTATAATCATCATTTAATCAATAAGTTATGCTATATCTAAGATAACTTACAATGTTTAATTTATTATTTGTAATCACGATTTAACAATAAGTTATGCTATCTATAAGATAACTAACAATGTTTAATTTATTATTTGTAATCACATTTTAATCAATAAGTTATGCTATCCTTGAAATAACTAATGATGTTTAATTTATTAGCAGTTTTTCGTAATTACGATTTAATCAATATGTTATGCTATCCTTAAGATAACTTATGATGTTTAATTTATCAGCATTTTTTTTGTAATTACGAATTAATCAATGAATTATGCTATCAAATTATATGTACAAAACATTTAACCTAGTCATACGACAATAATCTTACCACAATCAATTTCATCTTCTGCGTTAGGACAATGTGCAGTACCATCACATAAAAACATAAGAGGTATACAGTAACTGTCTGGGCATTGAACCTTGCCTTTCGGACATGTCATATTACCTGAAATGAAAACTTTATACTCATGTACATGCCGATTGATTATGTGCAGAGGAATAAGGATTTTCTGCCAGTAGCATATCAAAATATGAAGCGAAGGACATTAGCGTTATATATATAAATAAATTATTTGTAATAATATCTGGATATCCCTCGGGAGCAATAACAAATTACTGACCCCCTCCCGTATGCTCGGTATTATTAAGTATGTTCGTTAGGGCAAAATTAACATCTATGACGCGAACTAATTTAACTGCTTTAATCACAAAATAATTACATGAAAATTGCAGGCTCGGTTTGATTGAGTCTGTAAACAAGGGGTAATGAAAAAAGTATAACATCCCTCAGGCCCCGAGCACCGGCTTGAGCAGTACTAAATGTCAATGCTTATAATTGTTGGAATCAATGATCCCGTAGGACCAGAAACATATAACAGTACCAGCACTGAAGTGATGTACGGGACAACTTTTTACAGCTGCTCAGGAAGTTTATATTACCACAGTTCTGAAGGTGCGCCCCAGATCTACACCCAGTAATCAATCCAGATCTGTCAATATTGTATACACATTCCTCTGACTTATCTACTACGTTCTTATCATCAGGACAACTTTTGGAATTTTCTTCAAATCCAGATTCTGAAATATACGAGCGAAAAATGGTTGGAGGTCCTTTAATAATTAAACTACAGATCATTTATGAAAACACACTCAAGAAATAGCTTTTGATAATTAGAAAGTAATTAAGAAAAAAAGAAAATAAGATAATTTCTATCAGAGTAATAAGTTCAACCAGTACATCATTCAATTAGATATAAATTTATTGTAAATCATGAATTTGCAGTCAGTTTAATTTCTTACTTGAAAGGAAATTTGAGCCACCAATGCCTTCGGGTTGATGTCTTAAAAGTTCATCATCGGATATTTCTGAATGACAAACGTATAGTAAATAATAAATTTATCAAGATATTTACTGGACAATTAATGCAACATGTAGTTACTTTTTTTTTCTTGTTATATCTATATGAAAGAAACAAAACTACTTCATCCGTAACAAATCAAACATAAAGCGTTTTTTAAATTACGTTAAAGAATTATTTTATGTTTTCATTCCAATTACCTTAATTTTGCACGGAGAACAATATTACAATATGGATCAAATAATACAATGCATTGTGAAAAAGTCTTAATAAAAATGTAACTGTATTTGAAATCTGGAAACAAAGTGATCCCTCGGAAGCATTAATCACAACAAAATTACATAATAATTGCAAACTCGGTTTGATTGAGTCTGTACATGAGTGATACTGAATAAGAGCAACATCCCTCACGCCCCCTAGCGCCGGCCTGAGCGGTACTCAATTCTCAACACTTAATAGTGCTGGCATCATTGATCCCGAAGGACCAGAAAAATATAACAACACTGAAGTGAAGTACGGGGCAACTTTTTACAGCTGCCACACAGCACTTGACACCTGCTGTTGTGAAGTATAAAAATCTGGAAACAAAGTGATCCCTCGGAAGCATTAATCACAACAAAATTACATAAGAATTGCAGACTCGGTTTAAAAATTCTTCATCATTCTGTAAATCAGTGTTTTAGATGTAAAACATTTAAAGTCATTCTCAATAATACTATTATTTGAAAAATAGTGTTTTATTAGTCGGTTGTTTTCAATTCTTTTTATATATCACGTGATGATATTATCTATTCCGTTGACACAAACCTTCTATGCACGTTACATTTCCAATATTGAGTTGAATGTTCTCATAATTTACAGACGTATTTTTCCAGACTAAAGTTCTGTGTAAAGTCGTGTATTGGTATTTAAACAATAAAAGGTCCTCAATTTCATCATCATTAAGTTGTTTCAATGTGTTGCAATATTCAACAGATCTGGAGAGATATAAATTAGATAGTACTTAAAACTCAATTTCCATTACCATGTCCATGTTTCCTATATTGCTCTTATGAATATTATATACATATAAGGCATGACCATCCAAACGGGCACTATAAGGAACTAAAGATTTACAACATAGGTCAGATATATACCTTAAAGGACACCTGTAAGCAAAATTTAAACAAACTTTACCGTTTCGAAATCGAGTTATTGCCACTTCTCTGAATTTATTCTATGATGTAAGAAGGGTCCCTTTTTCATAAATAAGGAACCTTTAAATTATCTGCAATACCATCTTTATGAAAAATGTTTTCCCATTAACTTTTCGTAAGAAATAAAATGTAACATTCAGCTTACGATCCACATGAGCAGGAAGATTGTTTCTACTCAAAATTTATGAAATATTTATTAAAATGTTACCCTATCCCTTCCATTTTTAACATGTGTTTGACCAATTTCCTTATTAAAATAATCCGTAAAATTTACTGAAATGAGTGCATGTTGGCAAAGTTTCAAAAGTATATTGGTTGATCTTCAAAATAATTAAGTACTTTGCAAATATCAGGTACCATTTTTGTACCATAGATTTAGCATTAGTTAGCCAATAATTACCTTTATTAATTCAATGATTAAAATAAAATTATTTTTTCTTCCCAAAATAGATACGAGATATGCATAAATATTGTTTAAAGAAAAAAAGAAAAATGTTGACCCTACTGAAGTTTGAACCAACGGCCCTAAGTTTGAATGTATTTAATAGTAGTTTTGTACTATTGTGATATAATTCAAAGCGGATGTAATGCATTAGGATGGTCGTACCTTAACATTAAACTAACTTTTCAATAATATAAAGTCTTCTTCAATGATATATCTTCCTACATAATAAAGAGGATAAAACATTTAACAAATGAAATTTAAATAGCATTACAATAGGATTGTCACAAAAATACGATCAGGGTATAAACACACTATGAAGAGTCTGTTAAAATATACAAGTCCTATTTAACGTTTAAAACTTCAAAATGATTTGGATTAAGAAAGAATAGGTCTTTAACATCGAGCTCCGACACAGCTTGTCCAAAATGTTTTCTCCTGCTGTGAACTCACCCACATATATTTCCACAATTTTAAGTTCAAAGTTTAGTAACTCGACTAAAATGCAACAAGTAACAGTAATATTTTATTTTAAAAAATGGTAATGTTATACAAATTCATAAAGGTTGAGATACTTTTACAGCCATTGAAATAATGCTTAAAAGTGAAAATTGCATAGTCGGTTTAATTGAATTTGTTCAAAAGAAATAATAGAAAGGACATGCTTCTAACATCGACTTCAGCAGTATATTAGTCTTCAACGCAATAACGAATTGCAAAGAATGATCCCAATGGGCAACAACAGTTTAACAGTACTTTAATGAAATACAGTACAATTTCTAACACTGCCACTAAATGCTTGACCACCTGTACCTGTTGAAAATAACAACACTTTATTTTTATATTATTTCAGCTATGCAGAACAACAGTACTTACGATATGTCTGGTTTCCAACTTATAACCAATGTGACTATTAGGCAAATGCAGTGAGAGTATGAATGTTGAAAGTCTGGGTCATCAAACATAGATACTGTCTGAAGTACTGGATTACATGATTGTATAACCTTCAAATACAAAATACTTTACGGATACAGTAAGAACATTGACTGAAAATGAATATTGGATTCAAACATTTTATAGATTGATTATATATTTGCAATTATTTTTCTTATAATAATATTCCTCAAATACATATAGTACATATATCAACACATGAATTTACAATTGTGTTATAAGCGATTTCAACAACAAACATATGTTTATGCAGCATTGCCATTAAGCAAAGCAACTTTGAAAGTGCAAACGTGGCCCAAAGGTGTAGTTCTATCTCCAAGCCGAGGAATATAATCTAGGGTTCGAACCCTAATCAGATCTCGACATTATGTCTTCATATTACATAAATCAAATTTTAGGAAGCAGGCTCCAAATGATTTATAATAATATTTGCAGGGCCGTCCGTGGATTAATTTGTTGATTTCAAGCCTTTTGTTTCGCTTGTATGGTTTCTAATCCCGCCAGGGACTTTGAATTCTTATATTTGAGGAAGTTATCCAGCTACCTTACGAAACGTCCGGGCTTCTTCTCAGGTGCTAACTGACGCATGGAAAGCCACACTACCAATAAAACTTTATAATAATAAGTTGCAAGAATTGGTACACAAATTGAACTAACATAATTATTAAAAATATTTTGAAAACAATATATAGTTTACCTCTTGTGTGCAATTCGCTTTACCGTCACTAATGAAATAAACGTCCATAGTGAGATCAATTGGCTTATCATTAATGTAAGTGTTATAAATAGCAAGTTTCCCGTTCCTAAAAAAGTCGAATTCAACCTTAATACACTATTAATAATAACAAAACCACATATTACAAAAAAGATTAATGTTTATATAATTGAAAAGAAAATATTTAACATAGATAACTAGTGCAAAATGTTTATTTGCTTACATTATTTTTGAATCTCTAGGAATGATCACATGTACCAGGAAAAATCTCCAAATGAGGTAAATACCCTCCTTACGGTTTGAAACATAAGGTTAGAGCATTAAACGAGACGTATCTGTTACTGAAATTGTTGCTAACTCAGATTATAACATTTACTGGTTGGGGACTACCAAAACCGGACAACCACCAAACCCGGACGTCCCTAAAAATGCTTATTTAGTATATTCTTTGTTTAGTTGTTGTCTGTTTAACAATAAATGTATGTTTCATCTAAAATTAAGTAAATAAATTTATTTCAACCTCCGTAAATGGTAATATTTAAATGACTATTTCAAGAATGTTGACGTTGAAATGTGGGGGTCAAGAAAGCAATGCCTGACCTCATATACCAGCTATAATCATTTGCAGAGTAAACAATGGAATATTCAAAACTTCAGCATTTGTTGCTGAAATATTGTATATCATGTACAAATCAAAACACCCAAGCTTTTATCTGAATTAAATCACATCATGTTCATATCTGTCCGGAAACATGGTACAGTAGTGTAAACAATTTAGGTACTTTTGATACCCTCTTTGTCAAGCCTCAGATATAAGTGTCAATACAATCAGAAATAAACAAACTAGTTTGTTAGTTAGGAGAAGAACCTAGCTGTGTCAATCGTTCTTATCTCTAGGTAAAAAATTATGAAATCTGTACGGAAAAATGTTCAAAGAGTGTCCGGTTGATGGTCCCCGACCAGTATATGGAAGTATGTAAAACTAAAATGTAACAAACCATTCCAAGATGTCCATGTTTAGAAAAACTGTCAAAACTTCATTTGCAGAAGATATATGATCAAATCCACAAATAACCTTCATCGTTTTCCCGCTAATTACATCTAAATAATATAAAACTAGAGTAAAATAGATAAATACAGAATCCCTAAAGAAAGCCCAACACTGCAAAATTGAAAATGTTGCAGGCTCGGTTTGATTGAGCCTGTTCATGGACGGTACTGGAAAGTGCAAGTTTACCGTCCACGCCCCCTAGCACCGACTTAAGCAGAATTCAACATTTAAACATGAAATAGTAAAATTTGAATTTAGAAACATCCGCAGATGTGTACATACGGCGGTTATCATGGAACCTTCAATGCGACACTTCCGTGCCATTCCATGAAAAGCGGCGTATGGTCCCCAAGTAATGAAAAGCGTGTGCCCTAAACGAGAAAACAATGGGCGGAACTAAATAAAATGGAATTTTGAAAGGGGATCAGAGGTTATGAAGCCTGCGTATCACAGATAAGACGTCAAAAGACAAAATTAAAAAGCAGGCAACATATCCTAAGGGTGATTTAACATTATTCAAGTAGGAATATTGGAACCACCCAACTAGAAAATGCCGAAAAGTTGAAACTAAAAGTACCATAAGCACAACAATAATGTCGTGCTAAACGACAAAAACCTAAAAACCTAAACCTATAAAACAGCACGTAACATTCATGTGGAAAACCATCGTAGGATTAACATATATTTGTAGTCTAGTTCTGTAAATCATTGATTAGAAATGATGCTATTTTTACCTATGGCTAACATACTTCTGGATGTTTGCGCAAAAGACAAACTCCGAAAACATGATGCAGAGTCATTATATAAAGAAATAAAAGACATAGCAAAATGAAAGAAGACTGAAGTTTTAGCGAAAGAAATGCAATCGCAATATTATAAAAATCTTCTTTTTTTATTTCAGATGATCGGAATGCTTCCATGACATTATCGAAAACGCCCGGAGCTTTGCTTACTATAAACAGCGTTTGAAATATTACTAGGTATAACACGGAAAAAGTATAACCGAGAAAATATTTTCGTTACAAATCGGTTGCTATGATTTCTGTATTACATGAACCAATGTACACAGATGACGGCTTTGTTACACTGTATATAACTCTCTTGTCCAATACCAACAATATGCATCGAATTTTCAAGTAAATTATCGGTTTTACGTATAAAATATCACATGATAAAGTTAGAAACGAACGTTTCTATAACAAAGTCAGCTACTAAGAAAATGTGAATTGGTTACTTATTTTTTTATTTCTAAAACATTCTTTTACAAACCAACTACATATCACTGGTGAATTTATTTTCATTGAAACAACTTCTTTTCTTTTAAACGGCAATACTAAGTATCTTTCCTGATTAAATCGTTTCGTGCATTCACCATTGGATGACCTTGTACCAGTTTAAACGAAACACTTTTCATATTTGTTCTACATGTAAGACTTCCGACACGTATTGTATCAAACATTTCTCTTTACTTTTTCATTTCAAATATTATTCACGATGCCAATAAAAATGGAACAAAACTAAGTTTATTTACTTCTAAAGAAAAAACGACACTATAATAAATAGATAGAATTATCTCTCATATATACATGTAGTAAATCAAATACCATTATAACGATGTTGTAAATGTGGCATAAACATTAAGAGCAAGTATAATTGAAATCAATTACCACTTAATATGTACGTGCCCGACTCTTTATATCCTGATTGCCACCAATGCACACATGACCTCATGTCGGGCTTCTCACAAGGTTGTTCGTCACTGCCGTCCGTGCAATCATGGTAATTATCACACACTATTTTGTTAGGAAAACATCTAATGTAGTCACAGTGAAATGCGGATGGACTGCATGATTCTAAGGTAAAAGAACGTTATTTACTAATTATTATATCATTTTCAGCAGACAGAATAGTCATACTTATATCTCCATTTATTACATGCTTTCCGGTGGTTTATAGGATTATATCAGTGAAATATAAAACTGGTAATTTTACTGTTTGAAACAGTGGAATTATCAATTTAATAATTTCACTGTTTTGAATTTAAGCCCCTTATTATGTTTCATTGAAATACCAACGTGCACAGTACTGAAAACCAACTTAATAACACGACGTTGCAAATGACGTCACGTTGTATTATTATTATGCGCGCTTTTCGTTTAGTATTAGCTTAAAATGTCATCTTAAAACGTTTCTTTGCATATGATAAAAAGATTTTTTTTTGTTTTAGTGTAAGATCGAAATATATGTCACCTCGTGAACACTAAAAGCTCATATTTCACTAGTGGCTGCGCCACTCGTGAAATATACCTTTTGGTGCTCACTCGGTGAAATATATTCCGATCTTAAACTGAACTTAACAAATATCCTCTATTTAATCATTTGAAAGATATATTTTTTATATAAAAAAAAATTCATATATGGAACAACTTAAAAAAGGAAAGTTATGTAGTTGAGTAATAGTATCTTGGACGTTGCACCATTAAATTATTTTTTTCATATTCAACGTCTTGATGTACTATTGCTTTATTTTATTACATATGACATTACTTATTGTGAGTTCTCAGACTTAGATATTCTTATTTCATCAGGTAACATATACGTTGTATAACATGTTGTTTGCTATTGTGACGTTAATGTCTTTAAAAAGATATTTTTACTAACATATCAACACTTGCTACTTAAAGAGTTATTTAATCAGATAGTCTGTTCAAAACACACATCAATTTATACATATAATATACAAGTACCACAGTTAAGTTCATCTGTCTCGTCGAAGCAGTCAAAGTAGGCATCACAACGTAATGTCAGTGGAATACATTGGCCATTTCCACATGTGAATTCTTCTTTTGAACAATGACGGTAATCTAGGAGAAGCAACATTTAGAAGAACATGAAAAGTTTTACTGATTGAAAAATATCATAAATATGATGATATAATAAAGATAAAGCCAATAGAGAAAGATTTTTCTTTATGTCAGTGCTTAAGTTGCGTACAACAATGTATGTTTATTTGATGTTCATAAATTCATATTTTTCCCTATATCATAAAGGGCTTTTTGGGATGTTAAATTCTCATCCTTTGTCTTTCTTTCCTTTATTATAGTTTAAAACATTTGTTTTTAAACTTGATTTAAGAAATGCTTTTTTAATCACGCTCGCATGCATACTGTATATTCCAGAAACATGGTCTTGATCAAAGACTCGTTCTCATGAATCTTCCGTGGAGTGGTATTCACAAATATTTCAAAATAATAATTATAAGACTGGTTAAAGAATATTGAGTTCCAAAGATTACCGCAAAATTCATCTGACGAGTCGATACAATCAATAATGAAGTTGCAAACGAGACTAACGTGAATACACTTTCCATTGTCACAACTAAATTGATCACCAGCACATGTACCATGACCTAAAATAAAGGAATATTCTAGTGAGTTCTTAAGATTGTTGTGGAACATGTCCATGAATAAAAACAAATCTACAGAGTATTACAGGTATTGTCCACTAAGTCCGTATTTATCACATGATTTTAGACAAAAAATTATACTATAATAATTTCATCGTGAAATCGTCAAGATATATTTTAACTGTACCAACGCAAAATCATAGTGTATATCGTAAAATAAAGTAATTTCCAAAGATACAGTTTCCACAATACCATAAAATGTACATATTCCTGAAATTATAAACACGTTTGTGCAAAACTGTAAATCATTCCGGAATTATTTTTTAAACATAGAAAAAACTTTTCATTTTGTTGATTGACTTTTTATTGGTGCATTGAACCCAACAACATTAGACGCTTGCGCAATACATGTACCAACGTTCAAACCGACAGAATCAAGTTTTATCTATAATAACATTCAATTGCAATTCATTTCATTCTTAAACCAGAAATTGAAAGTCGATTGGTTTTCAAAATTGGAGTGTATGTACAGTATACTTATATTTTTGCTCCGTAATGTCAGCATAAAACCAAACATAGATAGCAAACATCGATAAGAAATATACTGATCATATTAACAAATAATGTTGCTGAAACAAAACTTTTATTCTTTTCATTTTTGAAGTATAACTATCAATTCCAAGTGCTCATTTCTCTTGCCATTGAGTGTGTACCTAATTGTTTGTTTTGTAATGTTATTAAATTCTTTTTAAACTAAAAATATATATTGCAGCTACAAGTCAAGTTATAAAAGGTTCCCAAAATAGGTCACTATTGACATGCTCGTATTGAGATAAGTAACACTAGTTATGATTTCCCTACCTTCGATAGCATTATCACAATTAGATTCGTCCGAAGCATCAATACAATCCAACACACCATCACAAAGTGAAATGAAAGAGATGAACTCATGACTTGTACAATAGAATAATGACTCTATGCCCAATATTGCAATGTTCTTCTTTCCATTTTCTGTAATAAACAATAATGTAAACCTTTATCGAATACTGCATTTATTTCCATAATTTCTGTAAATAATGTGATATATTGTCATTATTTGTTTTGGTTGAAGTAGGGAAGAATTTGCTTTGAAATGTTTTATACAAATATTTCGAACATAAACAGACAGAAAGCTGGCAAAGTGGTGATCAATGATTATTTAACAAACACTTAAAGCGATTTATGTTGTTGTATAAATGTTTTCTATAAAACACCCGTACAGGTAAATCTGTCTTAGTTTGTTGTATACATATGCCAAGTTGAATACCGAATTTACTCGTTTATACATCTTTTTAATTGACGTATATTTTGTTTTTAACATTGTTTTGTATGCAACATATAACATGTATATAGTTTATCTCTGACAAGATGGTATTTCCAATATTATCATTGTTCTATTTTTAGAACATTAACTACATGTGTGTAAACAAAAGATTTAACAAGAAGTTTCTTAACTGTTGTAGTAGAAAATTCTATATTATGATTCATGCATTATATTTAGATAGAAATTTCCAGATTATTCTTTATTGTTGAAGGTGCTAGATTATGATTACCGAAGAAATTAAAAGTCTGATCTAGAATGATCTTAGCTAATATATATCAGCGGACATTTTTTCATTTTTGAAACACACCACTTTTAAGTTTAAAACCAGCAGCTAGCAGTCATATCTTTTGATTAAGAAAAGTTTGTAGCTGAACCTTCCCAGGAGGTATTAGATTTGGAAAACTGATAAGCTCGATCTTGCAAAAAAGTATAATTTATCAGAAATGAAATCTTACATGCGTAAGCAAGAAATTTTCTGATTCGTTATTTTGTTGATGAAGATATTTTTGGAGAAGATGCACTTTCTCATATTATTGAAATAAGGTTAAGAGAGCTTGAACTTAAACTTAAATTAGAGAAAATGCATTTAGAAAAAGAAAGAGAAGAAACTGAAAGGGAAGAAAGGCAGTTTGAAAAAGAAAGAGAAGAAAGGCAGTTAGAAAAAGAAAGGGAAGAAAGTCAGTTAGAAAAATAAAGGGAAGAAAGGCAGTTGGAAAAAGAAAGGGAAAGGCAGTTGGAAAAAGAAAGAGAAGAGAGAGAATTTCAGTTAAAAATGAGAGAATTAGAAATCAGAGAGAGAGCAAATCAGTTTAAACATAAAATGAATACAAAATTTGATGTCACTAAAAATATAAGGCTTGTTCCATCTTTCCAAGTAAAAGAAGTTGATTAGTATTTTCTTCATTTTGAAAAGGTTGCTGAAAATTTAAAATGGCCAAGAGAGCAGTGGACATTACTTTTACAAAGCGTCTTAATTGGTAAAGCTCGTGAAATCTATACACAACTTACTATTGAACAAAGCTCTAATTATGATAATGTAAAAGAATTAATTCTGAAAGGTTATGAGTTGGTACCAGAGGCTTACAGGCAAAAATTCAGAAATTCTAAGAAAGATATTGGTCAAACCCATGTCGAATTTGCAATTTCGAATTTCAAAATTTCAAAAAAATTTCAAAAAGAACAACTTTTTGATCGGTGGTGTCTTTCTAAGAAAATTAATAAAAATCATGAAAAGCTCAGACAGCTCATGTTAGTTGAAGAGTTTAAACGTTGTATTCACTCTGATGTTAAATCTTTCTTAGATGAAAAACAGGTAGAAACTTTAGAAGAAGCTGCCCGTCTAGCTGATGATTATTCTTTAACCCACAAAGTCTCATTTATGAATAAAGGGAAGTCCATACCCTCACATTTTAATTCCAAGTTCAGTTCTGGTAATTTATCTGGCTCATCTAGTCAGTAAAATACTCCCAAATCAAAGTCATTTGATGAACATGAAGGTCAAAGTCCCTTATCTTGTCCTAAATGCAATAATTGCAAGAAAACTGGACATCTTATTTCTGATTGCTTTACCTTAAAAAGGAGGCAACAGCAACGTGATGAGGCCAAACCCACAGGTCTTACCACTTCAAGGTCTGAACTGCAATTTTGTATTGATAAAAATGCAATTTTGAAGGTCATAGAACCCAAGTCTGATTCTATAATGGAGATTTATGAACCATTCCTCTCGGAAGGTTCCGTGTTACTTATCGGTGATACTTGCCCACCTACTCTATTTAAATTTTAAGAGACACAGGAGCTTCTCAATCTCTTATTTTAGCAGATACACAGACTTCTTCTGGATCTAGTGTCCTTATTCAGGGTGTAGAGTGTGGTTTTTCTAATGTCCCTCTCCGTAATATTTATTTGTCCTCAGATTTGGTAACTGGGTCGGTGGCTGTAGGTACAAGATCTTTCTTACCCTTTTAAGGTGTTCATTTATTGCTAGGTAATGACTTGGCTGGAGATAAGGTAGTGATAAATCCACTTGTAACTGACACTCCTTGTGTGGATCAGACACCTGACCCCATTGAGCAGGAAATTCCTGACCTTTATCCTTCATGTGCAGTTACTCGAGCTATGGCTAAGAAGGTCATTCAAGAAGGCAGTTATTGTTCAGATATTGTCTGATAATTTTATAGGTCAGTCTTTTGATAATGAAATATTTTTTTCTCTCACTCCTATTCTGTCTGAAACTCAGACAGATTGTTCAATATCTGACTTTTCTACACCAAGATCTAAAGATCAAGGTCATGACACACTGTCAAGGTCACAGCTTATCAAGGAACAACAAAATTATCCTGAGATTTCAGTCCTTTTTCAAAAGGCCTTTAATGAAGATGAAGCTTCACAAGTCCCTGTTTGTTATTATGAAAAGAATTGGATTTTAATGAGAAAATGGCGACCGCCCGATGTCCCTGCTAAAGAGAAGTGGACTGTTAATCACCAAATTGTGGTCCCTAAATCATATCGCCAGGAAATATTAAACTTGACTCATGAAACACACATAGCAGGTCATTTAGGTGTTAATAAAACCTACCATAAAATTCTCAATCAGTTTTATTGGCCTGGCCTTAAAGCAGATGTGTCAAGGTACTGTGAATCTTGTCATACGCTCTTGTCATGGTTGTAAAACCTAACCAGACAATACCTTAAGCTCATTTACAGCCTATTCCTGCATTTGATGAACCTTTTAGTAGAGTTATTATTGACTGTGTAGGTCCATTTCCAAAAACTAAATCAGGTTCTCAGTAATTATTAACTATTATGTGTGCTTCTACGCGCTTCCCTGAAGCTATTCCTTTAAGAAATATTAAAGCCAAAACTATTGTCATGGGTGAAATTTTTCACATTTGTTGGTTTACCTAAATCAGTACAGTCTGATCAAGGGTCTTACTTTATGTCTGGTATTTTCCAGCAGGTCATGCACGAGTTAGGAATTAGTCAATATAGGTCTTCAGCCTATCATCCTGAAAGTCAAGGTGCATTAGAAAGATTTCACCAGACTCTGAAAAATATGATAAGGTCATATTTTTTTTGACACTGAAAAAGACTGGGATGAAGGCATCCATTTAT